TATGAGCAACATATCATCATTCTGACCAAATTTCATTAAAATCTGAGGGGGTCACCTGGGGATTTGTTCTGAAACTGGTTGATTTGACATGGAATCACCCTCCTTTGAGAAGAGCAGAAGGTTACCCCAGTGGACAGTGGTCTTGTCCAGCCCCTGCTGTGAACCTGGCATGTGCACCAGTTGACAGCAAACCGGACATCACAGGACCCTTTGGGGAGTTCATTCAAGCGCTTTTGACCAGAAGGCAAAGGTGCTATATAAATACCATAACATTTAATAATAAATATAATTTTCAATGTACACAAGTGCATATATAGATGGCCAGTGTAACTTTTTCCATTGAAAGACACATAAAATAATGTAGTGGAGGTGTTCTTATGACACCATGATTCTTTCGCACTACTGAATAATCTATATCTCTACCTACTAAACCTCATTAATGGGATTTACTTTATAGAGTATCAGTATAGTAGGAAGCTCTGCAACCTACATTTCATTTACCTATCAATCAATCTCATTTTTCAGTTGGAGTCGAAATGGTCATAAGCTACTGAGCGCCTCTACAGACAACATGGTATCTATTTGGGACGTCTTGTCAGGTGATTGTGATCATCGTTTCAGGTTTCCTTCTCCTGTTTTAAAGGTCATCTTCCATCCCAGACAAAGGTAACAAGTTAGCGCACAGGTGGTGTATCTAAGAGTATTGAAATGGTGGGGGTTCGGGGGTGGCTGTTTGGGGAGGCACAAAGATAAAATGGGATGCTCAGAGATTATGGGGGAGCTACCTGGCAAAATAAGGTGATAAAGGTAATTTTTAACTACTTGATATACATTTTTTGCTTAGAAAATTTCCCATAGATACGTCATTGTAGTACATACCCAATTGTGCTTATTATGAGGCTTTAGAAGTTGTGCCCATACTATCAAATTTTATGGCTTACAGTTAAACTTGCCTAAGTCAACTGTGCCTAAGTCGAATAAATTCTAAATCGATCTTATTCTACATGCCAAATTGTTGTGTTTTCCATTACTTAACAATCTGTAAGTCAAATTGTATCATATACCCCTTTTACACTGCCAAGGGCAGAATTAACCCGTGTTAATTCCGGAGTGATCCCTGGTGAATTTCCCATTTACATCGAACGAAAATGTCCGGGTTGCTCCCGAGTTGCATCTATTTTACACTGGCAATGAACTCGGGTTCAAATACCGCCCTCAATTTTTGTTGCGATAGTGATCATCACTTCGCTCAAGTTCCTCGTCGTGACGAAGCCACAATTATTGTCAATATTGAAGCAATGTATATTATACGAATTAAATCAGCAGTTTTAATATCAAGTCTATACCGGAGCACATGGGGCTTAATTTGAAAAGTTTAGGCCTACCTGACCACAGGTGCAATATGCGGCAGGTAAGGCCTAAATTCCAGAATCGAATTTGGCGTTGTTTACACTGGCGATTCCGGAATGCACCTGGGTTGTCCTACGCTGAATGCCTAGGACAACCACCACCGTAACACCAACCATAACTCGGGGGTTTCTAGCCCGGGTATTGCAAAATCCCGGGTTATAATAATAATTTGATAGTTAAGTTATTGATTAATGTATTATATTGTCCAATGTATGTCCTAAAAAACATAATTTATTATTAACAAAAGTAGAATCACTTTTTGTGCTAGAGTGAAAAGTATAGTTAATTATAGTTATACAGTATAAATATTGTGATTATTATTATAGGGACAAGATGCTGGTATGTCCCATGAAACATACACCTGTCCTACTTAGTCTTGATGGAACCCACTCAGATATACAATTAGAAGAAGATGTAAGTGAATATATATATGCTTATTTAGGTCATCTGTTCCCAACCTTTTTTTTACATCCCCAGACCTCGCGGGACATGATGCAAGTCTTTACGGACCCCTAAGTAAAAAATTTACTCATTGTCAATATTCACCAATAGGATGATAAGATTATAGATAGAAGAAGATTCAGTACAAAATACAACAAATATTAGCAAAACTCAATTTTTTATAAGACTCCTAATGGTCAGTAAGGTGTTTATAACACTGATGTAGACGAGAGAATAATGAAGTCGTGAAAAATTAGTCTGAAAGTCTAGTGGACTCCAGAATTTTATGGGACCCCCTGTGGACCGTTTGGACTTGACAAATTCTAATTATTTGTATCGGACCCCTAAGGGGTCCCCATACCGCACATTAAATTTGATTTACGTTAGAAAATGTATTGTAATAATAATATACAGATAATAATATTGTTTGTTTATTTGCAGTCCGATTTAAACATTGTTGCCACATTTGATCGCAGAGGAAGTCATATTTACACAGGCAATGCCAAAGGAAAGGTAAAGCCCTGTCTGTTTATTTGACAAAAAACATACCTAAATATGGTCATGATGACGTCACATCATGACCATATGTGGCAAAGACAAGCCAAATCAGTCACTCGTCACAAATCCTTTTTCTAAAATAATGGCCAAAACATGCTGAAATGTCAACATTTTTTAAATCTATTTTATTGCACTAAACTAACCTTTATATATCTATATATCATGCTATGCTGTTATTTTCCTCATTTCCAATGTTGAAACAACAATTTTTAACGATTTGGTGATTTCTTATGTATGAGAAATGCCCAAAATCATAAACTTTAAAGGTGGATTTCTCAAATATTGTTTTTTAAACGGCTGTATGTCTAAACTCTTGTAACTTCTTAACGAAATGTTGGATTTTAATGATTATTTTACCATTTTATAGCTCTCACTTCATTGTTGAACCCTGTATTAATTAGAAATAATTTTTTGCGACGAGTGACTGCTTTGGCTTGTCTTTGCCACATATATAGACACGTCTTGACTATATTTGGGAATACAACAGTTTTTGTCAAAGCTTTAGGCATATTATTTGTGTGTTTGATGTTTTGATGACTGTTTGTTTCATCATTATAAAATTTGGGTGTCTCCTATCACCATCGCTGAAGGAGCTGTCTATACTCAGGGCTCGAAATTCACGCTAGCAAACTAGCAATTTGCTAGTAGGTTTGTCATAATTGCTAGGTAAAAATTCACAAACCAGCAAATTTTAAAAAATGAATGCTAGTTGAAATATCTGTACAAAATATCTTGTAATTAGCCTAGTATTAAATAAAACTAGACTAAATGATCTACAAAAACTAATACAAATTTTATTAAATTTATTTATTTATTTTTTAATTATGAAAATCGACTAAAAATGCCTATAATCGACGAAAAACGATCTTGAGCACAAGATGTGAAGTGCGCCACCAACATTAATTTTTTTTTCAAACCTTGCATTGCTTGCATGCATGCAACAAGCTAAGTAGTGTATAGAAAAAAAAATCGCTCACATGTGTTTATTGACGGAAGTCACGGGCGATGCAATCGGTAGTTAAGGCGAACATATTCAATTTGGTTCTTTTTAGATAATAAACAATGTTTCAGATATGATAATAATAATTTACTAAGCTTAGACAAATAATAGGTTACAACCTAGGCTTCAATTGGCAGATGTTTTAGGCCTAGCCTACTAGGCTAGACCCTAGCCTAGCTAGTCTGGCTAGGCCTACAGCAGTAGTACTGTAGTAGTAGACCGCCTAACCTAGGCCTAGGCTAGGCCTACTGCACAAGCGGCCGCCTGCAAAACGTCTAGCCCCAGCTTTAAAAGACCAAGACCTATCAAAATAAATACTGTACAAACAAATCTTTTATGTAAAATTGAGTTTCTGTCATGGCCTTTTTCTGTCAAAGATTTGGCTTGCTACCAATGCAGTTTTTGAAATCTCTAGGCCTAGCCCCTAGCTAAGCCTGCCTAGCTAGGCCAAGGCTAGTCTGGCAAAAAAAAAACTCCTCTCCCCCCTCCCCCACCCCTGATTATTTCTGAGGGTGTGACACTAAACAAGTATATTTTTTTTTAATTTTCCAAATAATACGATATAAAATTAATATAAAATAAATTTTATTTATAATTATATTATTTTGAAAAATTCCAATAAGCAGTACATATTTAATATGAAAACAAAATCACAGATACAAAATAAAAATTAAATGAATGATAAACTTAACTTATTTAAAAAAATAAATTAAGTATAATATTAAATTTTTATTTTGTATCATGATTTTTTTTTTCTTATTAAAAATTTTCTGACACTGAAGTGAATAAATGTACAAGGTATAGAAATCGATTTTTTATACTCCCTTGGCTATTTCTTTGTGATATTTATTGTACTAACCTCACCATAACAGAAAATATTATATTAAAACATTTAACACACAAATTTATAGAAGTAGTACATCATTAGTTATTTTCATACAATTTATTTTCCGAAAATAATATGTTGAGTTGGTATCAATATTTTACTAGTTGAGAAGCTCATTTTGCTAGTTACATTTTTAACAACTAGCACATTTTAGCAATAGGTTGCTAGTGGCTGAAAAAGTAAATTTCTAGCCCTGATACTATGTATTTTACTATTGTTTAATATGGTTGACTAGAGCTGCGCGGTTGGCTGAGAGGTATTGTTCCTGCTTCTTGTGCTGTAGACCCCGGTTCAAATCCAGACAGTGTTGGATTATTATTGGAGTTTTATCACTTGGCTCCTCGAATAGCCCTCATATACTGGCTAAGGACAATGAGATTGAAACCCTGACCTTGAGGTTGGGAAACCAAACCCTTCCCACTGCGCCAAACTTTTTTCACTGTGGCACTACACTGCAGTTGCCGTGGATCCCCAGGGGGCCCATCCCAAATTTCTGATTTCCAATTAGAATGAGGAAAAATAAAGACATGACGTTAAGGGGAAAATAACACAAAAGATATTCCCCTTTAGTCCGATTTAGAGAAATTATTATTATTCTTAATTTTACTAAATATATTCAAATTTAAAACAAATTACTGTTTCACTGAAGGGATTTTTTTCTTATGATATATTTGTTTTGTTTTAAAAGTTAAAATTGAACACTTGCTATCTCGTGCAAGAATCAATTCACTGAGAAAATTTCCCGTTCCCAGTTGCATACTCTTATAAAATATGGTTTTTGCTATATCGTTTCTCTTAATGGCAGCATAAAATTCATTGATTATGTGGACATTTGCAGAAAATTTGAGTATTGACTGTTGATTTGGTCAATGTATTACCTGTCTCTTATACACATCTAGATGTGTATAAGAGACAGCTTGTCTGACCACTCAATAGATTGTGTTGTGTCATCTTGTCTGACAATGAAAAAATAAGAGTAAAGAATGTAAGTCATATTAAGTAAATAAATAACACTGATTTTTTCAGACAAACTTTTCAAACTGGTTGAATCCTTTTTCTAAAATAATGGCCAAAACATGCTGAAATGTCAACATTTTTTAAATCTATTTTATTGCACTAAACTAACCTTTATATATCTATATACCATGCTATTTTTCCTCATTTCCAATGTTGAAACAACAATTTTTAATGATTTGGTGATTTCTTCTGTATGAGAAATGCCCAAAATCATAAACTTTAAAGGTGGATTTCTCAAATATTGTTTTTTGAACGGCTGTATGTCTAAACTCTTAACTTCTTAACGAAATGTCAGATTTTATTGATTCTTTTACCATTTTATAACTCTCTATGTATTATTAATTTAAAATAAATTTTTGCGACGAGTGACTGGTTTGGCTTTGCCACATATTATAGACACGTCGTGACTATATTTGGGAATACAACATTTTTTTGTCAAAGCTTTAGGCATATTATTTGTCTGTTTGATGTTTTGATGACTGTTTGCTTCATCATTATAGTGCTAAGATTAATTTAAAATTTGGGTGTCTCCTATCACCATCGCTGAAGGAGCTTGTCTATACTATGTATTTTACTATTGTTTAATATGGTTGACTAGAGCTGCGTGGTTGACTGAGAGGTATTGTTCCTGCTTCTTGTGCTGTAGACCCTGGTTCAAACCCAGCCATTGCCTGGTTTTAATATTTATTTTTATATTATTTGCATAATTATTTATTTAAATCCATTTAAAATGCTAAAAATACAACACAGGGTTGAAATGAAAGGTTTATCAGTTTTTATATAAATTATATATTGTTTTATATCATTTTATGCATCCTATACAGGTAGGTTAAATTGTTTTATATTGTATCTTTGTATTGTATTTTAGTATGTCCTTGTTTTTATTGTGAACCTTGGAAAACAAATTTCATTTACTTTGTATATGACAATAAATTGAACTTGAACAAAAGAAGGTCATCGGTGTCTGATCGCTGATCAGTTCCGAAGAACCCTCATATTGAGAGTTAGGTGGGCTAAGGACTATATTTGTATCTGTATTTATCCGGTACATGTTGTAGTTAAGTTGTATAGCACTGCACGTCAGCTGCTGTGGGTAACCAGGGGTAAGCCCAAGTTTCTGATTTCTAAATTGAATGCGGAGAGAAGTATTATAATAAGATCTTGGCCATCCCCTGCTTGATCCCTTTATTTAGGAAACTGCACGTCAGCTGCCTAGATCCTTTAATATGTGCCTCGCAGTGCAAAGCTATTTTTACAGTTTCATAAAAATCATAGCATCAAACATTTTGATAAATAGTAATGCTATTGGCAATATTTTAGTTGCCTCTGTACACTTAGAAAAACTACAGCCCACATGCACGATAAAAGGAAGAATACAAAACCAAAATTATGGGAATCAAGTTCAGAATAAAATAATGAGAAAAGATGGGATTTGAGCCAAGACTTGAAGACAGTCAGAGATGGAGAATCACGCAGAGTCTCAGGTAGTTGGTTCTAAAGCTTCGGAGCAGCAACAGTAAAAGAACAATCGCCACAAGTTCTGTGCCACTAATCATGTTGACATTTTTGTTTTGAAGGTTATTGTCGTCAATACTAAAACTTTACAGGTGGAAGCAAGTTTCCGAGTCAGCTCAGGCTCCAGTAATACCACCGCCATCAAATCCATTGAATTCGCAAGGAGAGGAAAGTAAGTTTTCCAAATGTATGTGATGATCTTAGTCAATCCGTCCAGTGGCGGGAGGGGAGGGGGGAAGATGGCCCAGCCCTGCCCCTTTAAATTTTACAAAATTATTTTTTAAAATGGAGAAAAAGAGAATACAACATTCAAATTTAAGTCTAAGAAGGTGTCATAATCATCCGCCATGAGTACTGTGGCTTGGTAGTTACGGTAAGATGGTTCCCTTTAAATCCCAAAGTCCTGGTTCAAACCCTGTAAGACTGCATTCTGCAAAAGACTGATGACCCTCAATAGCAAATTGTTACTGATAAAAAATTTCATAAATTTTTATCATTATTTTCAGTTGCTTTTTGGTAAATACAGCTGACCGTGTTATCCGGGTGTATGAGAGTAGGGAGGTGTTAGCCTGTGGCAAAGATGGTGAACCAGAGCCTATACAAAAGCTTCAGGATCTAGTGAATCGAACTGCATGGAAAAAATGCTGTTTCTCGGGAGATGGAGAGTACATTGTTGCAGGTGGGTAGCAAACTTTAATATTTTTGTCTTACATAGCACGTAATGCCAATGCATCTCTCCCTCTCTCTCTGGGCCAATATGGCTTATTCAAGCCATGAGCCTTACAACAGTGCGTTGCCCTATTATAATCATCATGCATGAGTGTATTTAAAATGTTATTATTATGCTTCACATTATTGAAAAACTATGGAAATCATATTCATCTTATTCGGGAATGTTTCACAATGCCATAGGCCAGAAACAGCATGTGGCTCCTATGGGCTTCTAATGCAGTGGTGGATCCAGGAATTTGAAATAAAAAGGGGTCCAGAGAAGGACTTTTATAAGGCGGAGGGTGTAGACCACCTCAGCCATACCATTAGTTAGCGCTGAGGTTAGAAATTTTCTGATTATGGCACCCACTTCTAGATGGTCAGAAATGGCACTCTTAGACTTAAATTTTGAATATTTCTTTCTCAATTTAAAAAAAAATAATTTGGAAAAATTTAATGGGGGCCCAGACTGGATGCCCTTCGTGGACGGAAATATCGTCTCGAGACAGCTTTAACTCAGTTGGCTAAATTTAATAAAATTTGATAGTCTGTATAGGCCTTTATATGGGAAGCTGTTGATCTTGTGTTTGTAGTAGTTTTGTTTTTGCAAAAATAAATAAATTGAATTACAATTGTAATGCTCTCTGCTTTTGCTTTTGTAAAGGATCTGCAAGACAACATGCTCTATACATTTGGGAAAAGAAATACGGCAATTTAGTGAAGATTCTTCATGGAACAAGGGGTGAACTCCTATTGGATGTTGTATGGCATCCGGTTCGTCCAATCATTGCATCTGTTTCCAGTGGTGTTGTATCTCTGTGGGCACAGAATCAAGTGGTACGTATTGAAATATTCTTTTGACTTGACTGACTGCATTGTCTGTCATTAACTTTGTTATCAAGATGGTAGTTCTGTATTATGGAGGCTTTGACTTGAAATACTTTGCAACTCCTTTTTCAGGAAACATGTGGAGGTGGGGTGAGGAGCATTGGCAGGAACTGTGTAAGCCCCAACATGACTCCCAAATATATTTTATTAAGCTCTCCCTCAGGGTCTGCATTCAGCATGGGCTTGACACTATTACAGCCTTCTTTTTTATGTCATCTAAATTATAAACCTTGACTTGAAATACCCCATTGATATAATTTTGAGAATTGGCTGATTAATAGATTATTTTTTTTATATGAGCGGCCGTCAGTGCCAATATACTCTACTGCCTCTATTATACTGCTCTCATTCAGATTATGAGACCTTGCCTGAAAGCTAATAAAACCTATCTCTAAAGTACTATAATTTTGCATTGTTTATCTGCACATAACATAAGTATAACTTTTAATCTTTAATATTCCTGAAGTTTGAGTTCCAACTGTAAAAGGTAAAACTTAGCCATTGTCTGATGGGAGTTGAATGAATAAAAACCTGCCGAAATAACAGCATTTTTCTCAAGACTTGATTTATGAAAGTTGATAAGATGATAATTATTCGAACGGTCATAACTTTGTTTTCAGACACACGTTTGAGATCATTAACTGTCACTTTAAAGTAAAGGATATGTTCTATGCCATTATAACAACTCATTTTTGGCCTGAGGACGAGTTTACAGCCCTATTATGATCTTGGGTCACAAAGGTGATATGCCCATATTTGGTTGTAATATGATGTCATGCCCATATATGGGCACACCACACAAATTTAGTGTGAATAGACCTAAGATCTTTTCCAAAAGCTTAATGTAGCAGTTTCAATATTTAAACATGCACTTCTAGATTAAAGCCATTTTTTTTTATGCAGGAAAATTGGAGTGCATATGCCCCAGATTTCAAAGAACTTGATGAGAATGTTGAATATGAAGAACGTGAAAGTGAGTTTGACATTGAAGATGAGGACAAGTCAGTGGAGGATCCTGTTGGTAAGTTTTATAAACACCACAATATCCTTTTGGTTTCAAACCTTCCAGGGGGTAAAACACATTAATGCAATCACATCTTCCTTCAATTCTCATGCCCACATTATTATTCTGTGCTTGAAAAAGTATACTCCACCAGGGGCTGTTGATTTAACACTGAACACCATACCAAAATTTTGATGCTTCCAAAAGCCTTCATTTTTATACCACTTTATGCTCAGTTTTGATATTTTTTTTACAGGTGATTAATGTTGGGCCATAAAAAACAAGGGTCCACACACATAGGGTTTTTAATTTATTTTTGTGGGCCGCAACAAAATCACCAACAACTGTGCCATACACTATTGACTGTGCCATACACTATAGACTGTGCCATACACTATTGACTGTGCCATACACTATTGACTGTGCCATACACTATTGACTGTGCCATACACTATAGACTGTGCCATACACTATAGACTGTGCCATACACTATTGACTGTGCCATACACTATTGGTATAGGATTGTCACCTACAGTAGTGTACTGACTGATTTACTTTCTTCTATGCCTGTTTCGTGTATGGGGACGAGTTGGCAGGCATTGTAATTTTGTTTGTCATATCAACGAGATAACAATGAACCTATTTGTGACACCAGTAGAACATATTGTCATGGGATATGGTTTCTTTATATTATTATTATTATCTGTCGACTTTATTTATTCCTGTAGATGCCCGACAACTGGAGGATGAGGAAGTTGATGTTGTATCTGTGGATGCAATCGCTGCATTTATGAGCAGGTAAACTACTTTTTTTATAACCCAGATGCTGTAACTTGATGATCAAAGTCCTCACTTTACAATCTCAGATTTCAGGGGTGAAGGTTCAGGGTTCAAATCAGTAAAAAGCCAGGAATACTTGACAAAAAGCCCTATCTAGACTATCAAACTGTATTTGACAGAAAAGCTGTTGTATGCCCTTATATAGTTATGATGTGCCTGTGTATGGCCATGATGTGATGTCATCTTGACCATATTTGGGCATGTCACATGTTTTTGTCAAATGTAGTTTGACAAGGGTTTAAGGAATGTGTGTGTATCTGTTTGTCCATTGTGAAACAAAGGTCTAACACATTTTACTGTAAATACAACATTACACCAATGTTAAGAACAACTGTTTTGTATACTACAGGTCCCCCTCCAATTAAAAAACAATTTTGGGACCTGAGTTCCAATGGTCTTTAGCAGGTTTGGTCTCTAATTTGAATGATAATGATATAAGACATTCGTTAATTAGTGTTCTTTAATTGGAGGTGGTCTTAAAGTGGAGGGGTCTTTAATAAGACGGAGAGCTGTATTTGAAGTTATATTCTTATATTTTGCTTAGTGATGAAGAAGATGAAGACAACGATGTGTTGTTATTTCTACCTGTGGCCCCCGAGATAGAGGAGCCAGAGGAACCAAGTTGGGCGCCTGCAACTGACCCTGTAAGTCTCTCGTATTTATTAATTTCTGTTTGTACTGTGTACAAGTGAAATTGTATTAATTAATTTATTTGGTCAACAGACACAAGCTTATAATCTCAAGTCATAACCTTTTTATGTATCTTAATATTTTAGTATGTGTTTGCTGGGTGTATTTGACAGGCACTAAAATTAGGACCAAGTACCCAGATGTGGTTTCTAATAGCAAAAATTATATAAAAATGTGTTCAAACCCAATTTTCATATTGGATGTAATTGGATGGTTTAGACATTCATTTACAATTTTTCAGTTTGAGAATAATTTCGCAGATGTATATAGTTTTTAAAGCAGTTATAAGATCAATAGTGCGTGCTTAAAAATTCAGCAACCAAGGAACGTTGCATGCACCTTGTGTTAGGGTCATTCCATGTCAAACCACCCATTGGGTTTACCTCGACCAACAAATCTCAATTTCTCTATTATAATATTTCCGTTATAGTATTTCTATTAAATTTGATTACTAAACAGACAATATTTTCTCAATATTATTAATTATTTATTTTTAGACTGATGAACCTTTGGCTGAAAAGCGAGCTGCCACAGGAGAGTCCAACAGTCCATCACCAAAGAGGAAGAAACTAAAAGCCATAGAGGTCGATCTGCAAAATGCACCATTAGACGGTAAATAAGTGAAAATACATTGTTAGTTTTCATATCAAAATTTACTGTCAAAATGTTTTGAAATCTACAATGTACATACACTTTATAAAACAAAAAAAATATAAACATTTTGATGATGAATTAATATGCAATAAATTATAGAATGATTAATACTTTACAATAATTTTACAATAAAATGGTTACACATTACTGAACATAATTTTTTTGATAAGGAATAATAAACAAAATTATAATACAAACATACAATTAAAAATACAATTACTGTACTGATATTTTTTTTTTTTTTTCTTTGGGCCTCAAAAAATTTGATAAGCACTTTGGCATGATTTACGGTATTATCAATCAATAAAATGACAGCTGTAGAACTGTTTTATCGATAGTAGACCAAGAAAAATTTATGTAAACTTACCGCGAGCTTTTGTCCGTATGTCACATAACATGAATTCATATTGTTAATATCGACGAAAACTCGCAGTAAGTTTACATCAATTGTGCTTGGTTTGTTATCGATAAAACAATTCTACAGTCATAATAAGCAAACAAGATGAAACTATTAGAATATAATAAAATAACAGATGAGTATTCCAAGGCAAGAATCTTAACTACTTCAGCTCGACTCCAATAATTCAAAATACTGAAGTTCATTTTGTTTTCTTTATATTTTCCAGAAGTTCACCCTCTGTTAAGTAAAGGTGGCGAAAGCAAGACCAAGAAAAAATCTACAACAAACTCCAAATCGAAAATCAACTCACGATCAAAGGAAGGAATATCGAAACAAAGAAACTCGAAACAAACATCAAAAGTTCGATCAGGAGAGGGCCAGGAATGAAATTGCTCGGGAACATTTTCCTCATGTGATGAATCTGGTATTAAATACATGATGTAATAAGCCATTTTTTAGTTTCACTTGTTCACAGTTACACCATTCGACGACCTCATTTCATGGTCTGAATTTCTACTTTTTTCTGCTTTGTATGGTCCTGATACTGCATCTAGCTGGCAAAAACGGAGCCAAATTCAAGGTTAATCTTCCGAACACAGTGTAATACCATTATTATACAAGTTTTTAAATGTTCCTCAAAATCTTATTTCTCCCGTATTTGGAATTGCATTCATTGATAGTAAATTCGCGTGTTACAGATGATCCGCACATAAGACAAACATGATTAAAAAATCTAAAATTTGTATGTTGTGCATATCCTATCTGTTTTTCCATCGTAAGTTGCTATTTTAAGTCTTGTCTTATACTTGAGTATATACGTTAACATTATGTTGATTATTTTTACCCGAGACCCGATATCATATGAGGATACCTCCCCATTTACCGAATATTCAATTTTTGAACCAGGTTTTGCCGATCTCTTCTTATCTCTATTAATTGCTGCTTCAGGGAATTTTGTATTAAGATTAACAGTGAAGCTAATTAACTGTGAATACATTATAAAAAGACAAGCACAATTAAATTAAAAACTATGTTGTAACTTCTAACAAAAGTCATTGATTTTTAAAATTCAAAAACATATATATCCATTATGATTTTTATCTTAAATTACAACTAAGGTATTAAAAATCCTTAACAAATTTATGAACAGGTTTTAAGAACTACACTGGTAATTTATTAACAAATAGCATTGCCTGCTGTGATAGTACTCTTAAGTAGAGGTATTCTTTTTTGATGTTTAATTGGATTACAGTATTGAGATAAGACTGACAAAACCTGATAAATGGGATAGTAACAGCATGACATTAAGTTTAGGTCTCCCAAGTGACAACTTTTTTTGGACCCATGGGAGGGCACTTCCGAGGGGTTCAACATTTATTTGGTTATTTATATAGCGCCTTTGCCCTGGTCATTGGGTCCTTTGCTTAAGTGCTGACAATCCCACCATTAATCCAATTATACTACTGGGTGGATTCCTTGTTCATATTTAACTTTAAGTCTATGATCTGCTGTCCTTTGTAACATATACTGTACAGATCCTTTCTTTAAAACATTCATTGTCCTCTAGACTTTCATGTACAATCTTGTTTTATATTAGAATTAGATACATACATGTAGAGATGGATTATCCTTCATATTTTGGTATCAACAATATTTGATAATATAGAAATGTAAAATTGCATCTTCTGCTATAATGTCCAGAAGTATGTCATCTGTATTATATTGTACTCTACTATTTTTAACATTAAAAACATAAGTAATAAGAATGCACATATTTATTGATATGTTTTTTACTACAATCAGTTTAAACAGAAAGCTATAAATCTGAGACAGTTTTATACAGCCAGTCTCAGCTCTATAATCAATACAGTATTAAAATAACACATTAACATTACAATAACACATGTTTGCGGTACACCTCATAAATAAGGCCAAATAAAAAAATTATTGTGTTGACCCAAAATGTTCAAAATTGAGAGTTGGCATTTTAGTCGCCATTAAAAAATTAAAATTAAATAAAAATTTAAAACACAACTTTTCCTACTGACCTACCCATTTTTTGGATTTTACCAAAACGTGGCCAACACAAGAATTTTTTTTTTTATTGGCCTTACTCAAAGTAACAATTGAGAACAACTCTACTTTTCCAGCAGACTTTCTCAAACTATGAGTTGCAATATTTTTACTTTCATCAGTTAATGATACAGAGGAAGTGGGTCGCTTGTTTGGGTCGTCAGCCGAAACGTTAACAGTTGGTATAACTATGGTAAAACTTGCCTAATTCGACTTTGCATCTCGAATAATTTTAAGTCGAATCTTATTTTACATAAATGATCTGAAAGTCCAATAATTTTTCGTTTTGGATTTGACTTGTATCCCAAGATGTACCACGAATATTCACTAATATAATGACGTAGTGTACAGTAGTTGCTTGCAAAAACATTAATAAAATTTAAATAATGTTACAAAAAAAAACTAACAACATTCCTGCTTTATGCACAGAATATGATTTATATTGCCAACAATCAACATCATTCATTCTACACGCCCCATAAACAGAGATTCCTGTGTTGAACTTTGTACGTAAAATGATGGCATTTGCTGCACGTTTTGATGCCACAACGGTAATTCATTATCTTCCCGCCAGCATCTCTTCCATGGCAATATTTTAATCCACACGGATACCAGCCGATGCAAATATCCAATGTACAGGCACACGGTGCAGAAGTTCCACTCAAGCTGGCACAGCTGGAAATTTTCTCTGTGTTTAGCCTCTGAGCAAAGTTCATAAGTCCCTGATAAGTTATATTACTGCCTGTGAAAAAGTTTGAAAAAGGAAAAATATTTGAGAGCAGAAATAATTAAAATTAATCAACATAAATTTACATAATCATACTTAATGAACTCAATGTCCTACCCTGTAAATAGTGAGACAAAAACCCCACTACCTTCTTTCACTAAATAATATCCTTGAGAAATCACTGTTATTACGCTTTCAACACTATACAATTTTATGTTACAAATAACTGTGGTATGGCTATATTTGAGTATGACATCATCATGCCTATATATGGGCCTGTCACATAGGATGGAATACTGTAGTCAGATACCTCTATCAATGGAGCTTCTGTGACTTAGATTTGACATTCTTTAGTTCATTATCAAAAGGCAGAGTGATGCTCTGTTTGGTTTCTAGTTTGTTAGGTTTAGTAATAATTAGGTCTTGTTTTTTTTTTTATTTAGGTTTAGTAATAATTAGGTCTTGTTTTTTTTTTACCGCTAAGCCTGTAATGTAATGACATTGTGCAGCTACATTCCAAATACACACCTGTGGGATGTGACCTTATTCCCTGGCTCCGCCCACTGAGTAACATGTTCTGATTGGTCAGAATGTTAGGTTTGACTGCGACACTCAAAAACGATCCACTCCATATCGCAGGGGTGGGCATAAAAATAGGCTGGAGGGCAAAGTGAACTTTTGATTGAACACCGAGGGCCACACCCAAACCTGTGCGCTTGCAAAAACCTTCATACACTGCTTTTCTACCGCTTTATGTTCAGTTTTAATACAGTATTACATTTTACAGATAATCGGTGTCGGGCCGTAAAAAACAAGGTGATTTCTAGTCAAAAATGTTTGGTGAGCCGCACACATAGGGTTTTTAATTAATTTTCGTGGGCCACAAAAAAAAAATCAGTCAGGACGCACTTTGCCCACCCTTGTCCTATGAATATGATGAGATGTTACATAGTTTTTTTACCTTTTCTGTTAATTTTGTAATTTTCAAAACTTTATAGTTTCTAACCTTTTGACCATCCTTTGATGTCCAGTACACTTGTGTATGTACTTGATTTTGCCTCAGAACACATATTCTCAATGTGTTTGCTGAACTGACTTGACCTCCGTGGGTCAATGGCAATATTCATAATGTGGTCCTCAATGCCTAGATCTTCCTCTGGTGTTCGGATTGTACCAGGATTTTTCTGAAGCAAAACATGTATTTTTATAAATTACATACTATAATTATTGAATAAAGATTTTTCTGAAGAAAAACATGTACATAATTTTATTGAATGGAAAAGGTATTCAAGGTTCATTTAAACACTAACATTAAGGTAAAGGTAGGAGAATAATTGCGTATTGACGTGGTCCATGACTACCTAGCAGCCGTAAATAGGCGCTTCATGGTAGATACAGTTTCACATCCTTCTCCAACGGAACCATAACATCGGCGTAACCCCCTACTCTTACAAAAGATGCAATGGGTTCTTTAAAGTGCACAAGAGCCATGTATACACTGGATTTCCATTTTAACTCCTTATCCGAAAAGACTTGGTTCTACCAACTGAACCACGGGCGAGGAGAGAAGCGGCTGGAACCAGCACTGATGTTAAGGCTGTAGCTAGCGGCGCCCCTGCCTTACCGCTCGGGCACTCGACTCGTGTGTCAAATGAAATGAAATCACATTCAAATGGAAAGGACTCCCCAAAGGAATATCATTAAGAGCATAAAGTACACCGCACTGCATAACAATGGTGTAAAAAATAGTCTAAAAGAATAAGCCATTTCATAGTTTGAACTGCACATGCCCAAGGTTAATCAACATTTAAAAAACATACACTCAATACCGTATAGGCTCATGTCAATTACAGGCATGGTGTACACCAACTGTCTTAACATGGAACTTAAATGACTGAGCAAGATTCAACTTGGTGTGGGGCCAATAGCATTTGAAGCTTACCTGTCTAAGCTTTGACATTGAGTCTGATGAAATAAAATCATTTCTGTTGAATTTGCTAACAAAACAAATCACTTGATATCGGCTCTCCTCCCTCTCTTGCTCACCCAATATCATTAAACGCTGTATCTTTGTTTCCTGCAGTATTATGAGAAAAACAAAATATAACATACAGTAATACTTATCACTACGTACATGCCAATTTAGACTAATTTACAGTTGTGAGACTTTTGTTCTGAACCCCCTCCTAGGGGGTGCTGCGGAATCAACCCCCCCAAATTGCTTTTTCTCTAAATACCCGGAAGTTTATTCTTTGCCACTTGAGAGTTTTTTTTTTACATACAACTGAAAATTTTTTTTCTTGATAACGTAAGTTTCTACTGTTCACAAACTTCCCGTGCGCGCATGTGGCGACTGACTGTTGCATTCTTTGGTCATAGTGATGCAGCTAGATTGACTGATCTCTCTGATCGAAAAACTAGCAAGAGAAATTTGGAATTTTACTGACACTTATCAAGATTTATCAACTAAGGAATACATGTGAATAAAAATTGTCAAATTATATAATACTGTAATAATAAAAGAGACATCTGAAAAAAAAAATACCTGTATTATCTCTAAACATTTTTAGCTCAAGCCGTGCTCTTTATTATTTATCCATGTTGCCGATTTGGCCCTTTTTTAACATTTCTGAAGAGGGATCAGACAAATGTGCTGGTGCGTTGGTTGTTGCCAACTTGATTGTAAGATTGTCTGAGAAAAATTTCTGTATCTAACATGAATTTCTTTTTATTGCACGGCCTGCGATACTATAGGCAGCCATTGTTAATAGTGTTCAAATGTGTAATAACAAAACCAATCCTATAGGCAATATTACATTTATTATTAGATTATCACTCTTTTTTTAAAAAAAAAAAAGGGATGAGGGCAGGCGGTTTTTTTTTTCTTTTAATCGGAACAACAGAGTATTGCTTTTATTTTATCGATGAGAGAGGGACTGTTTGTATTTGACAAGAATATTATAATACTGAATGAAAACTGGTTTTATTTTATTGTTTTTTGAAGAAAATGTATATACTCAAATCAGGAATCGTTAATAAGGATGAGGCGTACCGGCGTAGCTCGGGGTATTCAACATACTGTAATTAGGCCTACATAGCTTATGAATAGTTAGTTGGCCCGAACAACAAAGGGGTCAGTTAACTTTTATTAACTTAACATTATCTTGGGGATGCATTGTGTAACTAAAATATTATAACCAATGGCCGTATTCTTCGTTAAACCACACCCACCTGCGCAGTTGTAAAATCTTCCTTAACGAAGTCAACCAGTCGAATAGATAACTAGTAAATACTCGACAAAACAAAATGGCTGCATAGTTACCGCGATACACGCTGCGTAATCAAGGCTACTTCGGATTGTAGCAGTAAGGGTTTTTCGTAAAAAAAATTTGCCTTATTTTTATTTAATACTTCAATGTGGGTAATATTATAATTTTTATTTTCTGAAATTTAATCTAAATTTAATATATTAATGCAAATGTTGTTGCTAAACTGACCAATCGGCCATATTTGTTTTGGTCACATGCATAATTTAACGCTGATTAACGCACTCTGGTTACGTTAATTTTCGTTGTCAGCGAAGTCTATTTTACGAACCAATCGAATGAAAATAATACTTAACGAAAATTCGTACTCAACGAAATGAACCAGTCGAATAAGCTCAATTTTAATAATAATACAAGTACAAGAACCAGGCCTAGAATAACTTAGCCTCCCTAGTGAACAACAAAGTTACAACAAATACGATACGATTCTCTGCATTATTTTCTAGGCTAGTTAGGGTGGGAATCAAAACAAGTAGGCCTAGTACAATATACTTGACTTCAAGTGTTTTACTATTTTGACCATTTTCTCATGATATTTTTGTTGACCATTTTATCATGACATTTGTGCCTATGCCTTAGGCTCGCGTTAGCTAAGAATTGCTTACTCACTGCCGGGGGAAAAGGCGATACCTACCGCTTTGAAATCGATTAAATTTGAAACAAGTGTTCCGTCTAGCCTTTGAAAGTTTAGCCTCACTAAATCGTTCTGAATATCAGCTTGAATGTTCTCTTGGATTAAATCTCCACCTTTATTTTTAACATTCACAACTAACTGACTCGCAGCAAATTTTGTGCATGATAAAATAAAGGCAAAGAGTAGAAATAACGTCATCTTGTGAAAGGTTTATACATAGAAGGAAGCCCTCTCTCTCCACCACACACAACATTCCAAAATCAATTATGTGTCAACAGTGGGGTTAAAGTTGAATTTCTCTTCGATGAGAGGGCAGCATAACGTTACACATGACTGACTGACACATGGCGCATCATTTTTTCCATGCAGGAGGACAGTCCGCCCCTCCAATTCAGCTTTTTAAATTAGAAAAACTAATTTCGAATTAGAGGGTGCACTGTACACAAATAATATAATATTAATAATAATTAATATATTTAATAATTATATTTTTATACCTCCTAGCCAGATGATATAATGACTAAATATATTATTTGGGGGCGGGGATTTTTTTGCAGTGCGTTCTTCTTTATATTAATCGTTTCTGTTCCCTAATTTTGGTCATAATCATTGGAAACCATTATCATTCACAGTACTTCAATTTGACATTATAATTGTTTTGAATAAAACGATGTACAACAACAATTACAGTACTTGGAATTAAAGTACTCAAATGACCTTCCATTTAGCAACCTCGTAGTATTTATGCGGCGCGCACGTGCGACTAAAAAAAGGGGAATCCCCATTATTATTTACGGTACCTGGAGTCGACGCATTGACTTCAGAAAAAGTAGGGTTTGTATTTGTATTCAAATTTTCAGCATGATATTATTTTAATCACATAATATTTTTCGTGATTTATAAAATAAATGTTACTGTAGCAAATAAACCGTCAGTTTTAACAAATCAAAATAAACCATTGCGAAACTCCGCCTCTTTTTGTCAGCAGTGAAACGATATCGACTGTGCCTAGCTCATCATGGCCGCTGCTATCGCTTCCTCCCAATCAGCAGGTGAGTGACGAATGACACATTTGTTGATCTATTTAATATGATTATTGACAAATTGAATCAGTTGTGTTACAGCATTGAACTGATCTAGAACTTCGTCTGACAATGAAACATCCTAGTACTGCTGCTGGAAAAGGTTTACAGTACTGTGTATGATGGAATTCTCTCTCTGTTGTTGACTTCACACTGGCCCGTGGTGGTAGTGGTAGAGCCTGGGCTGGCCTCTCAGCCAAGGGCTAGGCCAGGATATTCGTTGATGGTATTATGTGATCCATTCTCGTGGCTATTTCGAAGTTGATACTCATAAAGTGTGAAAACTGTGATTCTCAGTGAATAATTTCGGATCCATTGTAAACGACCCTGGATGGATATATTTCTGGTTTATTGATTTTTTACACCATTTTTGTCAATCTGATCGACATCCGTTTTTTACGCGAGTGACCCCTCCTCTTTTCTCTTCTTTGGACAAGTGATTTGAAAATAGTTGGTAGGCCTAGTACAGGGGTAGAATAGAGATAAATTCTCCCAACCACAACTACAGTTGGCCTAATTGAACTTACTGTCGGTAGGCCCTACCACATTCAAACAATTGAACCGGTTCGTTTGTCGTTTTTATATAAGTGATGGTTGCAATTTTCAAACAAGAATTGTCAAAAATCATGGGTTTCCTGCAGCATGTATCATCTTTGATTTAACTGTGAAACACAATGTTTTGTCTTGATGGAGCTTGCTCCGGCAAGAGTTCCGGAGTGATAGCAAAGGCTAATAAGTACAACATATTGAAACAAAGTTGGAGTCAAATGAAAGTGGCAAGCAACAGTTATACTAAAGAGGAGTATTTAGAAATGCCAATACCAAGCACTAACCATATGCCCTGTACATGTGAGCTTATTAATTAATTTTATGTTTTTATAAAGTGAGTCATTGCTTCAATGTTGCTACCCTGGTAGGTAAAAGATCCCCGAGGTATAGGAGAAATGCATGGGAAATCTGGATACTGGTTATTTTTTGTTTTGTTTTGACAAAAATACAAAAGCTGCATATGGATGAAATTCACATATGTCATAGTTTAAATATATATTGGAATCGACAAAAAAATAAAAATCTATGAAATTATATTTTTTTATAGGTACTGCTTTTCCCTGTCGCCCAATGAACGCTTACAGCAGCATACTGTAGCGCAGCAAATCAGCCTACCTCTGTGATAGGAAAATGCATTTTCAGGATATGTGGCAAAGACAAGCCAAACCAGTCACTCGTCGCAAATCGTGTTTCAGAGAAAATGGCCAAACATGCTGGAATGTCAAATTTTTAAAAATCTATTTTATTGCACTACACTAATCTTTACATATCTATACATCATTCTATGCTGTTATTTTCCCCATTTTCAATGTTAAAATAACACTTTTTAAGGATTTGATGATGGTTTCTGCATGAGAAATAAACTTTGAAGGCTGATTTCTCATATATTGTTCTTTAAACAGCTGTATGTTTAAACGCTTGTATTTGTAACTTCATAAGGATATGTCCGATTTGAATGATTTTTTTTACCATTTTATAGCTATTATTTTACTCTCTAAAACTGTATTAATAACTCAAAATCGATTTTTGCGACGAGTGACTGGCTTGGCTTGTCTTTGCCACATATGCAATCTATTCGACTGTCTTTAATTTTACTTTTAGGCAACTATAATTTTTACCAAACATTGATGTAATAATTACTTGCCGAGTAATTATTCCATTCATTCAAAAAAAAATTAAAAACGTTTGTCAAAGTTAGCGTAGCATCACCGTTTGCTAATTAATAAAAAAAATGTTTTTTTTCCCTTCTCTGACAATCTTTGAGAAAATTAATTTGCTAAACAAAGTATATAAACGTTGTGCCTTATTCTTAAAATTTGCAGGGGTGTGGACCCACTTTCGGGACCTTTGAACCTTTGTTGGGGATACTGCCAATGATTTGAGCTGTGAAGAAAGTGGTGAAATTAAGTGCTTCTATCCTCATATACAAGTCACAGAAATATATATTATATATTGCATGAATCTGGGTCAACATGGCAAACTTTATTTCTATTCCCAATTTTGTAATCAAAACCTAATGATCTGTAAAGGTAGCAGCAGGCCTAATTAGGTCATTAGGCCAAATAAAATTAATTTCTAGTTTTATGTCCCCATCCTCATCAAATTTTAGAGCCTCATGAAAAAAATTGCTATTTGCTATTTTTCTGAAAAAAAAAAACAATCATTCTTCCATGGAAAATAAAAGTAATGACGATCTGAAAGATTGATGTCAAAGAAGAGCTGGAAACACAATTTAGAAGAATACATTACAAAGATTTTTTTTTTAATTATAAAAAACTATTTTTATTATTTACCAGCATCTTTACCAAGTCTAGGAGAGTAAGTAGCAAATAATACCTTCACCAAAATATCTTAAAATTCTGAGACGTGAAACTAACAATTGGTTTAATTTGGCCTTTGTCTGACTGAATAATTGGAAAATGTGAGAATCACTCAGTTGGCTATTTTGATTTTTTTTTTAATGGTAACTGGAATGATTGATATACAGTGGGTACCAGCATATTAATGTTTCATTTTTCATTACGTAGTAAAATTTGAATTGTAAACAATATTTTCAGTTTAAACGTATTATAAATATTTAGTTATTTCTATGAAATATTATTTTTATTTAATATTATTCAATAAATTATTATTGTTGTTTTAGTTGATATTTTCATTATTATTTTTGTTTTATTGTTGTTAGTGTTATTTTTTTTATTATTATTACTTATCAATTGTTGTCATATTAGTATTAATATTATTAAAATTATTATGTATTACATATTTTATTATTATTATCGTTATTATAGTGTTCAGGCTTGGATTGATTCAGTTAGCTGTTACTGCAAACAAGGCTGAGAATATCCGGCACGCTGTGTCGCGCGTAGCAGATGCTGCAAAAAACGGGGCTAATATAGTTGCACTACCGGTAAGGATTTTAAAATTTATGTGTTTTTTTCTTAGGCACGTAGGCCAATAGTGAAGTTAAATACTTAATTGTATTGTATAGAAATCACTTTCACAGGACAAACACACTGTACATAAGAAGCTCTACAAAAAACCAAATCTCATTCTTCTTAGGTAAAAATTGAGTCTAAAAAAAAAAAGAAGCTTTCTCAAATGTTTTTATTTAATCGTTTTTTTAATGATGTTTGGCGGTGAGAATATATAAATTGAACATAAATTTTATGAAATTTCAGTTACACAAAGAATTCTGGAATAATTTCCTAATTTGCGGTGCGGTGAGCTGCCCATCTCCATATCCTGGTCAGCCTTTAATCCATCTTTCTGTCTGTCTTGGAAGATGGTCATTCTGAGTTTTTAATAAACGATTGCCAGAATTTTCCTTTTCATAGTCCCTGTATAGTAGTTCTTGCTTGAATTAAATGATTGTTGATAGTAAAATATGACAACTGTATAAATTTGTGTTTTAATCAGTGTTTCATATTCGCAATTTAAATTTTGTATTGAATTTATTTAGATTTTATTTTATATAGGCCTATTTCAAACAGACAGCGCGCAGTGCGCCTTTATGATAAAAGTACAATTGCCTCAAAGTGTCACTGTTATCTGAGTTTGCAATTCTACAACTGCACACCTGTTTGTCAATAAAACTATCGGGGCATGAAATTTCTCAGACTCAAATTCAATTTAATAGGGTCATTGCAGCTCAAGTCAACCAGCATGCCCCTGTGGCCCCCTTGGATTTTCCTTTAAAAAATTCTGAAAATACCTTTCTATGCTAAAAGAAAAAGTCAAAACTTCCAGCTTCAATTTCCAAGCAGTTTTTAAGTTTATTAGCTTTTGAAGTTCAGGTACCACACCCCCTTTTTCATTCCAGTAATGGCTCCTTTGACTTTGTATGGTTTTTACGCAGCTACATCTTCTGGAAAACAAAGATAAAAAGTTGTAAATTGCTACATAGACTGATATATGGCCACTCTTTCAAGAATCACCATTCAAATTTGGGTAGCATATTTTATTAGAATGCTAATGTTAAAATTAAACATGACAATGAATATGCTCATACTACTACATATAAAAACTTGCAAGGTATTTAGAGCAATAGAGAAGGTATGATGGGGTCCCAAACATGGTTGCAGGACCATTGACCCTGAAAATACCCCCCTACTTTGGCTGACCAGATGACCCCGTTAACACTTAAAATTAATTGTGAAATTATATCTCTTTACTAAAGCATACATGATTCAACACAGTATGAATTGCAATTGGAGCCAAGAGATAGATTGCTCTAATCAAGCTTGAACCCCCCTCCCCATCTTAACTACAGTACATAAATTCATCCTCACCCCCTAACTTAATCAATACAGTTTATCATGAATTTATACCAGTATACAGATACACATATCATCATTGTAAGTAGAAAGTTTAAACTGTTTGTTAACTTCTTCAGTGTGAACTGATTTTTTTTAAATAGGCAGATTTTAATGTATTCTAAATATCAGGTCAAAGTTCAAATCACTGGAATAAAAAAGGGGACATATTACCTAACTTTCAAAAGGTCATAACTTAAAAACTGCTTAGAAATTGAAGCTGAAATTTTTTTAAGGGAAAATCTAAAAAAGGTCACAGGGGCTCATTTAAATTTCTGGCTGATTTGAGCTGGAATGACCCGTTAATTATATGTTAACCTCTATTCCTGTAGGAATGTTTTAATTCTCCATATGGAACATCATATTTTGCCGAATATGCCGAGAGGATTCCAGGGGAGACCAGCCAGGCTCTCGCAAGTGCTGCAAAGGAAAACAAAGTGTTTTTAGTTGGAGGTAAGCATCTTCCTTTAATACTGGCTTGATGGTGCTGTACCTACACACATATGTTGCATTGGTCCAGAGTCTCTCTTTCAGCTTGACCTCCTCTCACACTCTTGTAAGCTGCCCGTCCTTCCAATTTTTTTTATTGTTATTTAAAGACATCAATATCAATGGCACACCAAAAAACGATCTCGGCTAGTTAGGTACTCTTCAATCACACTATTGTACAGTATATAATCAGTGATGGGTCCAGGAATTGGATATACTGGAGGGCAAGAATTTTTTTATACCTTGTGTATCGAACCCGCCGACTGCAAATATTGATGATTTCAAATAAAAATAAAATTTTATTTTTGGCCAATTAGCACACCCGCCGCCACGAAAAAGCAAAAATTTCATAAATAAAAGTATATAAAACAATTTAAAAAAAACTATTATAAAATAAAATTTTTCTTTTTTTTATTACACCTTCCACTGCCTTCAAATCTCCAAAGATTGATATGTATATTTCTATCTAATTAAATAAATTTGAAGCATAACCATCCTATTTTACATCCACCACTAATTTTATTTTTTATTTTCTTTTCAATCTCGATGTTTTTGGCAAAAGTAATTTGCTAAATAAGAAAACAAAATTTTTTTTAATTTTTTTTTATTCCGCCCTCCTCCGATGATCTTTAAAAAACATAAGTACGCGAAACAAGGAATAAGTAAAGTCTTGCCTAGAGGGGGTCTAGACGAGGACAGAGGATACTGTAGATATACAACAAATTTAGGAATGTTGATCAAAATATACTGAATATAATAAAAATAAATAAAATTTATTGATGTTCACTATTGGGAAGCTAAAAAAATTATTAAGAAGGAGCCTGAAAAAAATACAACTCTGCGTACAGCATTAGAAAAAATGCAGCAAAATGGTGAAGGTTTCCTATTAGGTTATAAATTCAGGAGGGCTTGCTTGCTAAAGTACTCGCAGTTTTTTAATAGCCAAATTGATCTAGGCAATCAGACTGATGAGCACGTAAAAAAATACAAGCAATCGATTAAATTCTTGATAGATGTTTGATGGTCAGATATTACAAGTACTCATTTAGATTTTAACAAGAGGTTACGGTACAGTAATTTGTGAGCAATCAAGCTGTATTTGCAAATTACAGTCGGTAATTTAGTATCAGGACTTTATACGTGCTACAGTATGTTAAGGTCAAAAAACGAAAAGAAAATGAGACTGGTTACTGAATTTTTATTTTTATCCACTACAATATATTTTTTGTCGGTCAAGCTGTTTCTCTATCCATCTGCCTATCGTTCCATCCTTCTGTCTATATTATGATATGCATCTACTGTAAGCTTTTAAATTTATTATTATTGTTTTAAAAGTAATTTTTTTAAAAGTGTAACATAATACTGGGTTTTTTTTCATAGATTTATTTATTTATTTTATTCAAAAATTACCATGAGGGGCATTTATATCGAAGCTGACTTAAAGACTCAAAATCAACATTTTTTATGTACGCTTTCAGAGGGGAAGGAGGGGGTGCCAAAAAGGAGTACCGTTTGTACACTTGCGGAAATGTTGATAATTGTTAACGACCACTAAAATCTGATTTGTTTAACCCATTAGCACTTATAGTTGTAATGTATTGTAGTCAATTTCTCCCTAGAGAGTTTGCTGTATATGAAAGAAATTAGACTCTACTACAAATAAACTGTAATAATTTTTTTATTGTTGAAAATGTTCCATTACAAGTTGTTTTGATTTTGATGCATATTAAATAAGCGTTCCAGTGATACAAAATATTTTGACCTTTGACTTTGAAATTGTGACCTTTGACATATCATAGTTAACATTTCATCCAAAATTTGCAATTTTCTTTGAATTAATAATATTATATAAATGATTTTGAATTTGCATACTTTACTAAATTGTATAATTATTTTATTGAGTTTATTATTTTTTTTATTTCAACCATCTTTAAAGAGGGTAACCCTTCCAGTTTAGCCCAGTAGGTTAACTGATATTCAACCCTCTTTAATAAAATCAAAGAACAGTACAAACAACATCATTACAACATAATAATAATAATAATAACAATAATAATAATAATAATAATAACATACAATCCTCAGTGACATCAATTATCTGACCTTTGACATTGATATATTGACTTTTGACCTATTCAACTTGTATTTGACCTTTATTGGTTTTTACTAAAAAATAAAATATTATGAGCATGTCCCTTTTCTAAATTTTGCGTAAATAAAAGCCTATAATTATATAATATGATAGGGTGATAATAACTGATGTTTTTTATATGGTCTAATTCCCAAATTTCCATCAGTTTTATATACCGTTTTCGGTGCAAAACTAGGAGTTTATTGATGAATAAGCAAGTAGCCTACTTCGTTGCGAGTGTGGTCCAAAAAGTGGTACTGAAACCCAAAAGCGCCGCGCTGTCATAAACATTCAAATGTTATAACAAAAATAATTCATAATTAAGTGTTTTGGCCAACAACCAACAGGGAAACTTTTTTTATACCTGGTTTGGTGTAGACCCTCCATCTGTCCCTGGGCCCCCTCTATTTCAATTTCCTGTATCTGCCACTAAAATATGTACATTTCTTCCTAGTAAAGCATTTGTCCATCCTAGTCCCATTACACTGTTTACATTCACCAATAAAATGTATTTATTTTCTCCTTCATCTAGAATGTTTAGCAAAACTATTTGCTAAATAAGAACACAAAATTTATTCTTATTTTTCCTCATCCTTCTATGGCAATCTTTAAAAAACAAAAGTATGTGAAACAAGGTATGAAAAAAGGTTTGCCTTATAAAGACAACAAAATAACACTTTCTAATGGATAAATATGATTAAATACTGGATTAGAAACTTTTTGTCAGTGTGGTTCAGATCATAAAATATTATTTTTCCAAAATTTCAGTATGTGCGGTGTTACAGTAGGCCTACTAGTAAGTATGTATCCAAGATATAGAAACCAAAATTTGAATGTAGTGTGCCTACTCTATACCATACTCTGAACTGGTATTTATTTACCTACCAGTTGTATAAATTATACAGATTCATAAATTCCATATTATACATAACTATTAATATTTTATTATCTTAAAACTAGGCCTGTTGTTTTTATGAATGTATGGTAAATATGCAAGCACCGTATATGTTTTTTTCCCTATAGGAATATAAAGTTTGTAATATGAAAACAAAAGTAATTGTTTCATTTCGAAATAGACGGATAATCCTCTATAATATGCATTTTCAAGAATTTGCATTTTTCTGTCGGTGATAATAGTTTAATACATAGAATGACTGATCTACTGCTTTCATACCAATTTACATTATAATAACTAGGCCTCTGTTTCATATGGCGACTTGTTGTGTGTATGGATAGTGTTATGCAAGGTATGTTGTGGAAGGCTTCTTGCATAGCAGGGGACGTGGCATAATATTATGGTCATAATATGAGAGCCTACTGTACTGGAGAAAAACGGTTGGCAATGATGAAAGAAACATCTACAGTATTAGACACTGCCTCAATATAATTGTACTACTGCATGGTACTATTCATAATCTGTTTATTAGTTGAGGTTTACAAACCATATCCTAAAGTTTTTTTGTTTTATTTATTAATCTTTATGAGTTTTATATGACAAGCATTTGATTGATACTGTATATCTACTGGATATGTATAATACAGTATAATTATTTCATTATATATATCACAAGTGGGCAAAGTGCGGCCCGTCAGCAATTTTTTTTTTCGCGGCCCACGACAATGAATTAAAAACCCTGTGTTTGCGGCCCGCCAATCAAAATTGTCTAGAAAACACCTTTTTCTAGACAAAAGGTATATGATGACTATTTATGGGTATAACAGTTTTTTTGATAAAGAACATACAAAGTAAACAATTCAAATAGTAATTTTATCTTTCAAATTTATTAGTACAGGACAGATTTCAGTGGCAGATTCAATCAGGTTGGTGGGGGGGGGAGAGAGCAGCTGGCCTTCCCCCACTTCCTACTGTAATTTTTTTTTCAAAATTCTAAAAAAAAAAAACATGGAGAAATAATAAAAATTATATTCAAATTTAAGTCTGAGAGTGCCATTTCCGCACATCTAGAGGTTCCACAATCATAAACTTTCTTACCTCAGCCCCAACCATGGTGTGGCTGAAGGGGTATAGACCCTTCATCTGTGAAAGTCTCTCTCTGTTCCCCCCCCCCCAACCTCTATTACAAATGGTGACGGGACCCAAAAAGTGCCCTCAGTCTCAGAAATTGACAAGGTACCCAGCCCTACCTTTACCCCACTGATTGTCTTTAATCAAGCAAACTCAAAATATTTGGTGAATGTGATTAGAATAACAATTATAACAATGGGAATTTCTATTGATTTTTATCCATCAGTCCTTGTTGTCACCCGATCCAGCGTTTATGGATTTATTGACGATTCGACTCATCGGGCCCAGCTGTTCAAAGATAACCTGCATTAAGATTTTTGCTTATGAAATTCTAAAAAAAGTGAATCTGCATACAGCATTGCGTGTCTGATGATTCTATTTATGGTAATAGCTCTCGATTCGATAAGCTTGCTAATGATAATCGAGCACTTTTAAGAATTTGAATTGTTCAATGAAATAATTACGACAGATGCTGTAGGAAAAATATAAAGTAGGGTTTGTCTTGTTAATGGCGATTGAACTAAATTTGTTCAACCTTTAGTTTCAGTAGTATTTATCTAGGTAACCAGTGGCGGATCCAGGAATTTGAATTAGATGGAGGCCAGGAAGGGACTTTCACAGAGAGTCTATAAAGTCTCTTGACCACCCAAGCTATCTATGGTGACTGAAATTTATGATTTATGGCACTGTAGATGCACTCTCAGAGTTATTTTTTTTTTTCTCTTTCTCTAATAATTTTAAAAATTTAGTGGGGTGGGGGCTGATTCATCTGGTCTTTTCAAGATATTGGGGAGGACGTGGAGGGTT